CCCCAAAACCCCAAAACCCCAAAACCCCAAAACCCCAGAAATGATTAGGTAGATTGAAATTGCTCTTAGCCCATTTTGGCTTTAGGCACAGGGGCAATTGGATTTCCTAAACCAAGGTTAAGGCAAGCATACCGTCTATTACGGGAAGTCTGTTGTCTTCTCCGGAAATGGGAATTCCTATTTGGGGTTGAAGCGTGTTGTTTTGGTCGTAGGCCATGCTGAAGAGTTAGGCTAAGGCTTACTTTGGGTCGGTGGTTGGGTCACCCTGCATTCTTGGAGGATTAACTATTGAGGTGTTATGAGAAATATAGAGAGGCTGGGGAGCTTGACCGGTATTCATTTGAGACGATGGATTCACCTGAATAGATGTAGCAGCATGGTTATTTGCTGTTCCTGGATTTCCTAAATGCCTTCTGCATTTCTTAATAGCACAATATACACCTGTTCCGACTGTTCCACACATAAGGATGAAGAAACAACAAATAGTGCCCATAACTATTCCAACAATTGCTCCTGCGCTAAGAGTGCTATAAAAAGTAACCAAACATTTTACCTTTCTGAATTACCAACTTGAAAGTCAATATCTATAGAATTGGTCGAAGATGTAGGGTGAACTACTACATAAACTTCCGAATTATACTCTATAGATACTGCCTTTGTATCTCCAGTGCTCATGGAGCCTTCCTTTTCATAATCATAGTCTTCAAAACTAGTGAACACAGTTATATCAGCATTTGTTGCATTATCTACAGGTTGGTTATTAAAATGAATTGCATTTTAGCTTACTGACGTCGATCGTTAAGCTCTTTATAAAAGTGGCAGTGGATTTGATTTTGTAAACTCATACAGCATCTGAACTTATAGACCTTCGTTTTGTTGACCAAGTCTGATCAGAATAATAGATATTTTGTGTCAGAGTTCCACAATCTGAGTAATATGTTGGACATAAGATGTAACCCCCATTGGTATTGAGTCCAGCTGTTCCATCGATCTTGCTATCATCAGAGCAGACGTAGACGCCGTCTCCAGCACAATATCCAGAGGTTGAACTTGAAGAGCATCATTCTCCACTATTACTAACTCCTTTGAAGATGCACCACTTCTGGTTGCTGTTTTCTAAACAGGTTCTGCATGTAGAAGAAGAGCTAGATAAGAGGTATCTCCCCATTTCAAACTGAATTGAAAGTTTCACTAGTAGGGCTATCATAAATATGCTTAGGATTAACTTCGTCTTCATCAATATTATTTCAATTTTATTCAAAGTAGCTGGGGTTTTGGGGTTTTGGGGTTTTGGGGTTTTGGGGTTTTGGGG